CCACTGGGGGCCTAGCAGCTTCCCTATCATGTTACAGGCCCATTAATGGCTTTTAGTGCTGCTGCCAGTGAGAACAGCATCTTCCTCTCAGAACGAAATAGGCAGGGAAAAGGAGTCCCAGACCCCAGGAAGCTGGGTGACCAGCATTCGGTGCCTTCTTCCTAACCGCAGAGGAGTCTGTCTGCCCCAGGTGTAGGGAGGAGAGAGAAGAGCTTCTGGCCAATGAGAAGGGAGAGGAGAGGCAGGGAGTAGGCGTCAGGGCTGCGGGGGCGAGCAGCACATGCAGCTGGCCAGTTGCTGGGAACTGTTTGCTAAGGACACAGCATCCCCACTTAATCGGAATCCTGAGATGGACTCCAGAGAATGCCCCGGGGCCTTCTGGGTCAGTATAGCCATAGTCAGAAAGGTGAGGCAGCAGGCACTCGAGGTAGGAATTACAGTTTATAAAGTCCATCCTTCTATCTCTAGCATCTGGAACTATGCCTGGCACATAGTAGGTCCGTGATAAACATTGAATGAATGAATGAAGAAAGGAATGAAAAAATGCTTTCATCACACAAGCCTGATCTCATTAATCTGCAAAGTAAGGCACAGGCAAGGCAGGCATTGCCTTGTTTTGTGGATGGGGAGCTGAGATCAAGAGCGTAAGGTCATTCATTCTCTCTGTAGTACCACGCGGAACATTCTTGGTATAGCATCCTGTGACTCCATATGAACTTCCTTTTGGGTCATGCTGGTCAGAAAATAGCCCTTCAGGGGAGGAAGTGGAGGGTATGGGTGGGGAGTGAAAAAAAGAAAAGAAAGACAATAGCCCTTCAGGGGAGGAAGTGGAGAGTATGGGCGGGGAGTGGGGAAAAAAAAAGAAAAGAAGAAAAAAAAATAACCCCTCAGGGACCCAGTTTCCTGGACACAGCCTCAGGACTAATTTCCCACATCCTCGTCCTCCTTGAACACCTGCATCTGCCTGTTTTTTTATGAGCAGCTCCGGGAAAGGGGGCCCTCCATTGGTCTCTGTGGCCACATCTGATTTAGAAGGTCTGGGCCTCTGAGAGCCAGGGGACTGGTGGCTTTCCTCTGGGAGTCAGGAACAGAATGAAGTCACACACATTCAGTTCCTTATTCTCTCACTCTTGACAGCAGCATCAGATAGCCTAGATCACCACGCTAGTTCCTGGATCTCAGGCAAGCAACCAACTCACATTGCACACCGCAAGGGCTTCCCGGGAGTCAGAGCCCAGCGTCCCAGGAGTGTTTCTGGAAGGAGCTCTCCAAGGCCAGCAGGAAGGCTCCCCTGAGCTGCAACACCTTTCATCACCTGGCCCTCCCCTGGCGGCATTCTGTCTTGTACCCCTCTCTTCTGGAGGAAGTGAGGTAGAGAGCGCAGGAACAAGGATCAAGTTCTAATGATCCTTGCTGGCTTTGCCACTCATCAACTATATCTCCTCTCCACCTCATTTTTTCTCATCTGCAAAATGGGAATGTTTCCTAATACATCATAAGGCAATTGTGAGCTTAAAGAGGATTTGTTGCAAGGTGCTTTTTAGCACAGGACAGAAACAATGCCAGTATTATTATTTTTTTATGGCAAAAAGAAAGAGAGAGAGAGAGAGAGAGAGAGAGAGAGAGAGAGAGAGAGAGAGGCAGAAAACTTCCAAAGTGCCCCAGAGCTCTCTGTTTCTACTTGTTCACCAATTCATTCATAAGAAAGCACCTATGTGAACAAGGAATGCACAAATGCCGAGGGAGAGACAAAGATAGTTAAGATGTAGTTTCTGTCCTTAAAGAATTGAAAGACTAGCACAGACTGTGCACCAAAAGATGGACACAGGGATTTCAGAGAGCTCAAAGGTCACAGAGTGGAGGGGAAGTTTTGTGAAGAGTTGGAGGCCCCAGGATTGTTCAGCCAGGTGAGGAGGCCGCGGAGGGAAGGAAGGAGTAGAGGGGTGTCATGCTGGCTGCATAACGGTCTCCAAGCCTCTTTGTTGGGGAGGAAATGAAGTCATCCTGCTCTCAAAAATCAGCATGACAGCCTCCAGCCAAGTAATCTGGAGTCATGAGAGCTGCCGGGGAGCTCTGTGAATCATGGCCGTCTGCTGGGAATTTCCTGATCACTAACCTGAGTTTCGGGGTAAGTCCTAGGGCTGCAACATCCCTGTTTACATTTGATCACGTTTATTTACAATTAATGGACTCTAAATCCAAACAGAACATGTCACCGTCTTCTGGAGGAAGTAGTGAGGCCGCTCTGAGACTATTAGCACTCTGACTCAGTCCGTCTTCCCGGAGGCTGGCAGCTTCGCCCGGTTAGCCAGGCGTGCAGAAGAACTCTCTCTGGAGGACGGTGGGTCACCTGCCTCCCTATAGCTCAGTGGTTCTCAACCTTCTGGCCCTTTAAATACAGTTCCTCATGTTGTGACCCAACCATAAAATTATTTTCGTTGCTACTGCATAACTGTAATGTTGCTTCTGTTATGAATCATAATGTAAATATCTGATATGCAGGGTGATCTTAGGCGACCCCTGTGAAAAGGTCGTTCGACCACCAAAGGGATCGTGACCCACAGGTTGAGAACGGCTGCTATAGCTGGATGGTTAACTTACACTTTCTGCAGGCAGAGGCTGGCACCCTGAGACCTCTGGCTGGAACAGAACAGAGAGGTCTGGCACTGTCCCTACCCTCCTCCACCTGTCCCTGCCCTCCTCCACCTGTCCCTCTCAAGTGGACCCAGACTCAAGGTCCAGGCTTGCCAGGCAGCAAAATGTTGCAGGTGTAGCAGGGAGAGAGACCAAGTCTTGGGTGTGGTCTTGGGCCTCTAGTGAGTTTACAGGGACTCAGACCTCTCATCTCCCATCAGGGGGGACAGTCTTGGTGGGTAGGATCCAAGTGACCCCCAAGCCCAGGTTGGGGGTGTGTGTTGTCCAGGGGGTGGTGAATGAACCCCAGAGTCTCCACTGTGCTCCTTCAACTTTGCTAGAGGGATATGCACGTGTGCATGTGTCTGTGTACAAAACTCTTTGCCTTGTACAAGAAGAGCAGGCTGAGTCCTTTATACCTGGTCAGTGGTACCGGAGGTCAGTCTTACCTGACAAGCAATTACTTTATCTTATTAGAAACAATGCCCTGTGATGAAGTAGAACACTAAACAAACATGCATTTGAAAGTCTGTCTTTTTGGGGAATGGATGATACAAAGATGTGTTTTCAAAACCTTACACAGTGTTAAATAAATCTTTCCTTTCTTGCCCTCCAGTTCCCCAATTCCTCTCCTTACAGGTGAAAACGGAACGTCCTACCCCTTTACAGCTCACTGTCTATATCAATAAGACTCTACTATTCCGTTGTCTGTGTTAACTAACTGTACGCTGGCCCAGGCATATAAATGGATTGCTCAGTCCCACCGGTGTGGCTCAGTGGTTGAGCTTCCACCAATGAACCTGGAGCTCAGGATTTGATTCCCCATCAGGGCACATGCTTGGGTTGGGCTCCATCCCCTGTAGGGGGTGTGCAGGAGGCAGCGGATCAATGCTTTTCTCAACATTGATGTTTCTATCTATCTCTCTCCTTTCCTCTCTGAAATCAATCAAAACCTATTTAAAACAAAAGAAAATCAATACATGGATTGTTCATCACAGGAACTTCCTGAAAGACTCATCAACACTTCCACAGAAAGAAGGCACCACCAGTTTGTGCCCTAAGACTTTATTTTCACACTCCTACAATCTTGTGTCACGACCCTAATCTAATCCTTATCAAGCCCTCGCTTTCTTTTTTGCTCGATCCCCCGCCACACAAGCCCTCACTTCCGAAGAATGCCCTTTGACCAAACTGCAAATCCTCAATAAAACCCGACCTCGCCTTCCCCCTTCCTCATGCACTACCAGACTCGCTCCCCGAGGTCTCAGCTTGGTCTTATCCACTGGGTGTGCTGATAATTTTGGGGAGGGCTGGCATTCGACATAAGCAGCCTCTGTTTTCAGCGGGGACGTGACATGTGCACTTGCACCCTGAGAAAAAGCCTCCAGAGCCCTGAGACCTGCGGACCGTGCCCGGTACCCGGGGTCCTCACGCACCCTCCCGGGCAGGTGGAGGCCCAGGCGGGCCGGCTGGAG